GGCACATAGCAAACATTTGTGCAGCAAACATTTGTTGCATGAGTGAGGGAAAGTGAGGCAAACACACCACCATTTATAAAGGTTCTGAGGCAACCGGTGGTTCTGTGAATGAGAGATATCTATAAGCAAATCCAGATCTGGCTGTGTGACATTCAGAAGGATCCAGTGAGCCAGGGTCCTGTTGTGTAGCCAGTAAAAAGTTTTATTTGGGAAACCAGCAAACCAAAGAAGATGGGAGTAAAGAATATCCCTGGGAGCTGTGCTATGAGAGAAGACTTAAAGGGAAGGAAGGAGGAGCCCGTGGTGAGACCTCTGGGCCCCACACAAAGGACCTGAAATGGGACATTGTCTTAGTTACTCTTCTCTTGACATCTTTAACCATACAAAGAGTGACAAAGATTAAGTAGATTTAGGTCAAATGAACCTCCTAGGATATCTCTGTCAAAACACTTCTAGATGCTTTTGTCAGCGTGCAGCGATAAGTAGGAATCTGCCTTATTGGTTAAGGCAGCACAGGAGGCGACACCGAGGTTTGTCACCGGTGCAGTCACTGCACACCCGCAGATCCAAGAGTCAGGGCTTTGGTGAGAGTGCCTTTGAGTCCCCCAGGCCATCACTGGCCACACTTAGCAGTGTTTCTCCAGCAAAGCTAGCAGGAGCCTGACCATGTAGAGCTCAGCTGCGTGGCCTCCCAGCAGTAGTGCTTGTTTCCCTTGGGAGTTTGGCTTTTGGTTTCTTCAGACAAATTTTGTAGCCCAGGCTGGTCTAGAACTCAATATGTAGCTTAGACTGGCCTCAGAGTATGGCAGTCCTCCTGTCTCAGCCTCCTGACTCCTCAGACATCAGATAAAAGCCATCATGCTTTGCTAAATTTAGTGAATTTTTAAAACGTCTACTAGAAGACAAGTGAGGTTAGAATGTGTATTTAGGCTTACCCTACACACCCATCTTCCTCTGTGCCTCTTGTCCCTTCCTGTTGTCACCTCTGACTGGAACATGCCACTCTTGTTAGGATATCCTAGAGTCTTGACTTAGTGCAGAAAGCTGAAAAAGGCTGCCTTATCTGAGCCTCCAGGAAATGTGACTGTATCACCAAAAGTCTTGTTCCAGCCGTAAAATCCATAATGCAATCAACACTGGGCTTAGGTGCAATCCCCTAATTCAGTCCCTGGGTTGAATTCTAAACTGATGGCATCCTCCATCTCTCATGTAGCCCTATGAGCATCAGCAGTGTCACTGAGTTGGTTGTGCAGAATGTTTGCCCTGGAGGGCGGGGCTGGTGCAGGACAGGGAGGACAGGTGAAGGATGACAGTAGACAAGGTGGCCGCCAGACAGCCTGAGGTCTTCCCAGGGAAGCTCCTCCACTGTTGCTGCTACAGTCGAATGGTGTTAATCAGGGGATCTTTTTGTATCAGCATTGTCAACATTTATTTTTACTTTACACGTTGGATTTGCATCTGAAAAGACCAAGTATAATCAACATTTAAAGGATAACACTCAAATTTGCATCTGATTGAGCAGACATGTTAAGTAATTTTAGCCTGGCTGTTGCTAGGAAACCAATTAATAATGCTCCACATTTCATTAAAAATTGGATTCTGTCTCAGCTTTCTTTTGGCTTCAGAATTCAGCTGCTGGTGCTTTACTTTTCCCTCTTGGTGGACTGTGACAGACAGATGATCGCTTTCCTGCACTTATTCCTGTGGTCACAGTTGTCAGTCATACCCGTCAGTACAGCTTCAGAGCTTCTCTGTTTTTAATGCTTTAGGAGGAAAGTTGAATTTTAACTGTTAATCGTCTTTTCCTTTATAGTTTATGGATACTGAGTTATATTTTTGTGAAGGCCTTCCAAATTGTGAATAACAAAAAAAAATAATAAAAGCAATCTTCCCTGTTCCATAATTGCCCCTTCTCTGGACAGTGGCTAATGATTAGAATATTCGGCCCTATTCAGAAAGTGACAGACAGCTGATGACACATTCAGCTGCATTTTATTTTGTTCTTTTCTTCCATGGTTTGTAGACTACACCAGGTTCTGTCTTTTGTGTAATACATTTTGATTTTTATGACTTTATTTTACATGATAGTCTTGGTTCTTCTGAAGAATAAATGTTCTTTTAGCTATTATTGTCCTGTCTGAGCTTAGTCAACTGGGTAGTTACATTCAGTAGTAACAGCACTTCACAGTTTGCTGTTTTGTTGTATTGACCTGTTAAAATGCTCATTAAGAGGTAAAATTGGTTGCTATTCACTTGGGTTTTGGTGCATTTCAAACACTTGATTTAGATGTTGCATACAGACCCCTCTGATTCTACAGCTTAGTTAATGGTCATCACACAAAGCCAAGCTCCAGAAGGCAAAATAGAATCTGCTTTTGTATTTCATGGTTCACGTCTTTGAAGTTTGGGTTCTGAAGATAAAGTGCAAAGAACATAGAATTTAAAAGCAGCTGTGAAGTAAAATTTCAGCCTAGCCCGCTCTGTAGTGTGTACCAGGGAGGACTGTGAAGTACTGAGGAGGCAGGGGGCCCATCCCTTTCTGTCAAGAGCACACAGGCAGTGCTTAAATGGGCTATGGCTTCCCTGGCATAAAAATCTCAGACTATGTGGTTTAAAAATCAGAATCATTGTTCCTGCAGGGTAAGTTCAAGGCTCTCTTGTGAAGCCTCTCTTCTAACTTGCAGGTCTCCTAACTTGCTGTGTCCTCACATGGTCTGGTCTCTGTGCATGCACAGACCAGGACTCTCCCTGAGTCTTAATCTCTTGAAATTCAGATTGAATTTGGGCTTACCCTAAGGGCTTCATTGTAATCACCTCTTAAGTGTCAGGGTTGCATTCTGGGCACAGGAATTAGATTTTCAACAATTTTAGGAAAATACAGTCAACCGATAGCAGGCATGTTATATGTTGCCAGCTCCCATTCACTCTGCTCAGTTGTTACTTAGGTTATCAAACAATAGAGGTGGCCAGAAAGGCAGCAGGAAGTTTGGTTGACTTCTCTGTTTAGGTCAGATCTGACCATAAACAGTGTTATTACTCTTCCCCCATTTTTGTTTGTTATTTTGTCCTTATGGAACATTTTCTGAAGTCACTTTTTCCTGACCTTACTTTATTGGTCGTATGGAGATGTACCTGTTCACACACCTCTGTAGGGGCTAATGTAGAGCATAAACCAGTGAACCATGAGCTGATGCTTGGAATGAACCTGCTGTGAGGAACTGGGACATTGTGTCATCTGTCACACATGGAGGAGTAATGGACGACAAGCCTCTCCAGCCTGTGTTCTTCCATGCACATCTGGGAGGCCCCTTAAGCCCAACTCTGGCTCAACCACACCATGATTACCGGAACCATTTGCAGAAGAGTCGTGAAAGCACCCAGATCTGGGTCAGCAGTTCCTGTCAGACTGACCCAGGTCACTGTGGTGAGTTCTGTAACTAGGCTCAGATAATCACATGAGCTGTTGCAGAGGATGTTCCAGATGTGGTGGGCTGAGTGGGCAGGTTAGGGAGAAGATGTCCTGTCCTAGAAGAAAGGGAGGAGAGACATGAGCCTGCAGGGTGCTTACATGACTCAGACATACTTTCATTTCGTTCACAAAGGAAGGTGTGGATTTCAGATTTACAATTGGAGCTTAGACTAGTTTCATTTCCCTCAGATTTTAATATTCATTGATTAAGCCTAAATAAATACCCCTATTTGCTAGCTGCTGCTAGGTCAAAAGTCTTTTATTTCCAAAGTTTTCATGCATGCAAAGAATATTCTTTGGTCTTGAAACCTTTTTGTTCCTTGTGACTATTGGCGCCAATCCAGCCTGTAGGCCTCAAACTAACTTGGAGACAAATTTTGACACTTTTTGCAGTCGTGGGACTCAGGCATCCTAAAAGACCAAAACACTGAAGGGAGATTACAGGTTGAAGGTACACATTTAATTGTGACATATGCAACTCCTGCCTACACAGCACCTGCAGAACGTTTAACCTGAGACATGCGGGTTTATATATTTTGCTCAAAGTTAAGCAATTTTTTTTGCTCTGTGTTCTGCCGGATCCCACAGAAAAAGGTATAAACATGAGACCTTAGATACTAGCCATGTGTACTCAGTCACTGTTACATTTGACTTTTTTTTTCCAGCTTAAACAAAATATAAACTGGCTTTTCACATTCAGAAGACTGAGGAAACAAATGGGCATCAGTTGTCATTTCAGTTCCTCGTTAGGGGATGGACTGGATGACACTTTTCCTCCTCGCATGTAGATCACAGGAAAGAAGCACAGATACAGACGTGGAGTTTGTGTGATACCTCCAGACACTACCAGTCAGTTACAAGTTATAATTGTAGTTGAGTAATTGCTGTTTTGTACTGTAGATATTGTTAATTGTATTTCTATTTTATCACTACCTGGAAGCACCAACTGTCCTCCTTCAGGGGGCCCCCTGGCCAGAGGTTGCGAAGAGAAACCTTGAGAAACCTTCATATAGACAGGAAGTAAAAGGAACAGGGAGTCTGTTATCTGGAAATTTGTGGACTTAGGCTTTAATTTGCTAGCATCGTTGAGCTCTCAAGAAACTGCAGGAAGTGAAAATAATTGAGACTGTCAAAATCTTGTTAAAAATACCATCATGTGTGCTTGTTGTGCGGCGTGCTTTCTATTCTAAAATTGGAACTCTGCAGGAAAGATTGGCAAGGACGGTGTGTGTTCATAGTGTTCTGTATTTTACTTATCTGAAATCTCAAGAAAATCCTTTTATACTCTTCCAGCTGAGATGAGCCTTTTTCGGGTTGAGCTTCCTGTTTTCTCTGTCCTCCCTTTGTCAGAATTCTAATACCACACCAGTTGTCACACAGAAATGCAAAGTGAACTCTGCCATTGGTAAGAGTTTTATCAGGTTGTATGTTGGATTTCTTCTGCTTTAAACAAATTGTGAAAAATAATATAGTGTTCTCAAAATTATAAACTCTCCATGTCAAGCTTCCTCTTGAACAGCTTAATGCTAAGGACCTTCGTTCCACTGGGCTGTGGGGATCTCTTTCCTCCTCAGCCAGGGCTTGGGGCCAAGATCAGCCCTTGAGGTCCGTCCGTGGGTCACCAGCATAAGGACTGGCATGAGTGGGCAGCCATTTTCCCACCCCAGACAATCACATGGGAGGGCAGGAGAAGAGGGGGGATTCAGTGACGCGATGGAGGCAGGATGAGGGCAGTTTTACACACTGGCATCCCCAGAGTTAGCGGAGGAGACCAGCTCTCTACCTCTGCCGTGGCTGGACTCCAGCACTAGCTCCACCCAGTCACAAAAATCCAAGGTGCTGTTTACACAAACACAACAGCAGTCATAAAATCCTACTTTCAATTTTGGTTGTAGGAACTGATGTCACTATCCCCAGATAGTAGGAATACATTTTATATATGGTATTGGGCCTAGTGAGTATTTCTCTGGATATATCAGAGATTGATTTCATTTCTCACACTGTTCAAATAAACTCCAACTTAATAAATTCCTTTAATATGATGATTAATGGCTATTCAAAAGAATTCTGACAAAGAAAAACAGGAGAAACCAAAATGAGAATTTAAAAAATATCAAATCTACCTCACTTATAAAAAGTAAAAATTGATTTCTTTTTTATGTGTGACTGAATTGGTGTTTAGGATCAAACTCGGAGCCTCACACATTATACCTTCAGTCCCAACAGTGGTACTTTTTCACAAAGATAATCACGTATGAATGTATATTTGTACCTGCTTAAAATGAAAAAGAACTATGTGAAAATACAAGCAATGTCCTTAGAGTCCTGAACTCTAAGAGATTCTTATCTGTGACTTAAAATTCAAAACCATAAAATAAATGAATAAATTTGATTCAATTCAAAAAATTTACTTGGTTAAAAAATATAGTAAAATAAAAAATCAAAACACATATGAAAATCTGTCTATAGAAAGCATGCCTCCCGCTGAGCCTGAGTATACTTCTCAGGGCAGTAGGAAAGAGGCCAGTGGCGGGAGCAGATCGCTCACACAAGAACTGCACTGCCATTTCTAAATCTAAGAAGACATGTAACCTTCCCACGAAACCAGAGAAATGTGAATTGAAGCTTTGCAGGACTAGCACTTTTTGTTCTATCTGAAAAATTGTAAAGAATGACAGCTATATCATTGCCGTGAGGAAGATCTGCACTGTGCTTCTTATGGGAACATGGATGGCACAGCCCTGGCGAAGGCAGTCGGCAGTACCTATTGGGATTACATGCAGTTACCTTTGACCCAGTCTGGCTCTGGCAGTTCTTCCTGTTGATATTTCTAAATGCTTATAAATGATACACATAGAAGGTTTTCCATTAGACCATTGTTTGTACTAGAAAATGTTGGAAGAGATTCAAGTATCCATTAGTGGATAGCTACTTAAATAAACCATGATCCATCTATACAGTGGAACACGGTGTGACAGTTTAAAGAGAGCATGGAAATGCTTTCTGCACTGATCCGTGAAGCTCTCCAAACAGGCTCATTCAATGAAAAAAACAAAGTATGAACAATATGTAGGATGCTTCCTTTAATGTAGAAAGGAGGCAAAGTTTGACCTTATTCATTTCTCCTTATGTGTGCATGGAGAAACACTGGAGGATGTTGTCCATGCAGGTTACCACTTGAATGGGGAGCCAGGAGAGCCTTGTGCTCTAGCATAATCTTTATATTTTTGAACTGTGTAAATTGTTTCCTGGTCAAAACAAGTTTTTAAAGTCATACTTTTTAAAATTAATTTCATACATGTTTAAGATGTACTGTGATGGTATTCATCCACTAGTCACCCTTCCAATTCCATTTTTTAAAAAAATTTATTTGTTATGCACACCCCAAAAGAGGTCACCAGATATCATCATTCCAGATGATTGTGAGCCACCATGTGCTTACTGGGAATTTAACTCAGAACCTCTGGAAGAGCAGCCAATTCTCTTAACCTCTGAACCATCTCTCCTACTTTTATGTCATTTTTGTTTGTGACTCGCTGAGTTCTATTAGAGCTGCTTGTATAATCACGGGTATGGAGTTGTTTACTAGAGCATGGCCAGTTTACCAGAGGCTACACCACTGAAGACAGTTACTCCTTTCCTCCAGCAGTCACCATCTGCCAATAGCTCCTCAGGAAGGGATGGGCAGCACAAGCCCCTCTGCCACTCATGTTGATAGCCTAATCTTGTGCAGATCTGAGCAGGTAACAACAGCTGCTGTGGGCCATGAGTGCAGTGGCCATGCCACGTCCAAAAGACAGCGTTTCATAGTAGTCTCCATGTTCTCCTCTTACATTCTTCCCCATCTACTTCCACACTGCTCTGTGGGCCTAAGGGTCAGTGTAGATATTCTGCTTAGGGCTAAGCCCAGAACAGTCACTTATTCTTAGTATTATGACCAGTTATGAATCTCTTCATTAATTGTTGTTTTTCATTGTAAAAGGAAGCTTCTTTGACCAAGACCGAGAGCAACACTAATCTATAAGTATAAATAGATATTTAGAGTATATCCATTTGGCAAAACAAAATTAGTAGACATCACCCACCAAGGGCCTGTGACTGCCCCAGCCTTTTGCACAGAACCAGGTATTATACTCCATGGAAGAGTGTTCTACCCCAAATAGTCATGCAGCTATTATACCATAGTTGTATCTTGCCTTGCAGGCTGATATTGTAGCACATAGGGTCTACAGTTAAGTAAAACCATGGATGACTTTTCTCTCTCTACAGCCTACTTAGGCACTGTGAACATTGGCCAATGTAGGGAAGGAAGCTCCAAGGCAGTTCCAGCTTGCTTTCTCTTTGTTCTTCAGCCACCATCTAGTTCTGGTGGGCAACCAGAAGCAGTGCCAGTAGCCTGTATTATTTGGTATCCTCTGGGACTAGCTCAGAGGGAGGTAATCTGTACTTGGCACTTGGATCTTTTGGAACGTTGTTTAAAAACCTATAGCTTTGGGCTACAGAGAGGGCTTAGCATTAAGGGTATGTACTGTACTTAGAGAGGACCAGAGTTTGGTTCCCAGTAGCTCTACAAGCATCTGACACCTCTGGTCCCCATAGTCACCTGCACTCATGTTCACATACCCACACAGAGACACAGAATTAAACAGTAAAATAAATCTTAAAAACAAAATACCATATTTTCTGGGTTGCATTACCCACTTATGCAGTCTACCCCTTTTCAAACTCCCCCCCCCCCACCCCGCCCACACACAGCTCTGATTTTTAGTTATTAAGGCATGGCTTTCTCCCAACTCTTAGCTTGAGTTAATGCTCTCCCCACACCTTTCCCGCCCTCATCTATCCCGCCCCATCTCCGTGTAAGCCTTTCATTACCAGGCAAATCCCTCCCAACACATTCGTGTCACATAAAGTTACATATTTTTAAACTGTATGTCAGTGGCACACTACCCTAGAATTCATCTGTTTGAGCCGTGGACTGCAGCTGCCTGCTGGGGGATGTGTGTTCTTTCCCAAGCCGTGCAGTGGAGGATGGTAACCACGAGGCACAAGGGAAACTGAATATGTGAAATGCAGCTTGTCTAAACTGAGATGTACTGTGAGGGTGCCTGTTTCAGAAAACTTAGTACGAACAGAGGTCATAAACTACTTCAGTCATAATTTTAAAGGTATTAGTCACATGTTAAATGATTATAATTTGAATTGAGGAACTTAAAATATATTATTGTATTAATTTAATTTCTTCTTCCCTACTTTACATGTGGTTACTAGAACATTTAAAATTACATGTGTGGCCTGACTCTGTGGCTTTCACTTTATTTTGTTTGCATAGTGCTGATGTAGTCTCCTGCCCATTCTTAGTGTATCTTCCAGAATTACTATAGAAACAAAAGTACAACCCAATCATAATCTTGTCATTCCTGGTTTTAAGTGGTGCTTTGACTCTCCTCTTTCTTGGCAACCATTGTAACGGTCCACAACATCTTCCTTTCCCATCCCCACCTGCCCTCGACAAGGGCTCTGCTCTTTACTCCCTGAACTTCATAAATAGGAGTTGGCTGGTTTTTAAAACCCCTTGTGCTTTCTGTTTGCAATGTCTCTTCTCCTTGGCTCCAATGCCTCCCACTTATCCTGCAAGCCCAGGTCTGGTGAAGCATTCCTCGTTCCACTTTCCTCTTCTCATCTTCCCCCTCCTTTTTCCCTGTGGCACTGTGCATTGAATTTAGAGTCTTGGTTATTCTCGGCAAGCACTCCATCACTGAGCTACACCGTAGCCCCCGTCCATGTTTATACTTAGCCATTTGATACTAGATACCTTCTGAGGTCCCATAGCAGACCCGGGTTCCTCAAAGCCAGTACAAGTGCTGTCCACTATGCATCCAGATTCTGATACTTCCAGCAGAATCTCAAATCATTGGGAAAATTGGAATTTGTCATGTTTTGTTCTGTTTGCCTGGGCTACTTCTATGTGGTCTGTTTACTGAGAAAAGCAAGCTTGAACTCATAGATCTTCCTTGGTTAAGGACAAATTTTTTGGAAGCTTCTGGCTTTACACAGGCAGCTTCCCCATCAATGAAAAAAAAATTGACAGGCACACTGTGGAAACTGCAGGAGCCTGGAGGGTGTGGGGGCGCTCTGGTTCCCAGGCCGGGTTTAGATTGGATAAGTGGGAGGTATTTATGTTCAATCCAGACAGCAGATTTGTTCAAGCTGGCAGGATGCCCATGCTTCCAGAAGGTAAATGTGTCAGGTGGTGGCTAGGAGGTGGAAGGTAGCCAGATCTAGGAGGGCCACAAACTGGAGTCATGAAGTTCCCTGTGGACTCTCCACTGGCTCTCACTTCAGTGACCCTCTCTGTGGAGTTACTCCTAATGCTAATCTTCTCCTCAGCCTTCTCCTCTGCTCCTGAGGTTTTAAAGTTTTGCTCAAAAGAGAAAAGAGGAGGAGGAAACAGAACACCCAAGATCCATGGAGTGACGATTTTTAGAAAGAAAAATGAAATTTTGGAAGAATCTCCAACCTAGCTGTGCAGACTGGAAAGGCTCGTCTTTCACTCAAGTTCCTACAGGGCTGTTGTGTTGAGACAGGGTTACTTCTGGTAGAAGACACTGGTTATTCTCAGCAGTTGGAGCTGCTTGTGTAGCTCTTAGGCTGAAAAAATATTATCAGCTGG